ATTCTATAAATTCGCGTATTGGGTCAGATTTTTAGGATAACTTCTCCAGATCTTCTTTTTGGGTTCTTAAGTTTTATATCTGGGGATATTTTGTGAGTTTTCTTTGATGTTTTTATAGAGTATTCAACTCATGGTTTAAAGAGAGTACATCAAAGGTTGTGTTTTGTTCTACAAAAGAGAGTGTTGTTCTTCAGTTGTGGATTCTGAAGAGTTCGAGCCTGAAGCTTTGGTGGAATCCGGAGTGGCTCATCAGAAAGACAATTCCGTGGTGAAGATGGGGTTGGAAGAGGCACATAGAGGTTGGTTCAATTAGGCGTTGTGGATTCGCTAGGTAATTGAGAGTATACCTGTGTAATTCCTTTAATTCTTCTTAGTGGATTGTTCTTGTGGCTGTTGCCCGTGGTTTTTTGATCACAGTTGGAGGTGTCCAATTGTGGTTTTTTCCACGTAAAATCGTTTTGTCTCTTTGTCTTGATTTTTTGATTGGGATTGTTTTATTCTGCTTAAATTTGATACATAATCACAAATCAACATCTAGGGGATTTCTAGATTTTTCATACTTATAATATATTAATATTCAAAACCTAACGTTGGCCAAATATAATTCCCAAAAATATAGCTAAACACATATTATGACCAATAGATCAAAACAAAGGCCCATATCCATAAAATTAAACTAAAAAATAATTGCAAGAGTTCAAATAGGTCCCCATGCGAAATTTTCAATCTGCCTATGTTCTTTTCATAATGGTGAAATTGATTTTTTTTTCAGTTCTTATCAAACCATAAACGTCCGGAAGCAACTTTAACAAAAAATATATATATTCCTTTGGTTTGGTTTTTCTTTAATTATTTGAGGAAGCAAGTCAAATATGCACGATTTTAATGGCTAGAAAATAAAAAAGTGTTTCATGTGTCTTTTGGAAAACATTATCTAAAGCATAATGCTTCTACAAAATAAATTTTACTTGTTTCAGTCATCAATCAGAAGGGTAGCAAAAACCTAGGACGATGACCAATGAAATTAAGAAATAGAATCAATCTAACATGATACCAGAAGTGGATATTGAGTGTCCACCTTAAAAAATTTAGTTGGTCCAATGCATGATAAGAAGTCACCTCCTGGTAAGTAAACCATCCAAGAGTCATAATTGGCACAAGGAATTGACTCACCTAATGCATCCAAAACCTGAAAATAGAACAGATGCAGTAATTATATTTTTTTTTCACATGGAGTCCACGAATCTAACTTCTTGCAGCTTCCAAGTAGAATCTATGCTAAAAAGAGACAGATCCATTAATCGTCACTTTGTCAGTTTCTACAGCAACCTTCAGAAATAGCATACACTTGATTGTTAAAGACAAGTGCCATACACCACCAAATATTCTTGTGTCCAACAAAAAGTTCTTACATAGATGGAATAGAGAGAAAATATGCTATCATAGATTACATAACAAGGTTAATTAATGAGAATGAAGCAACGCAAGGAATTGGGTTTAATGACGTTAATGCAATGACATAAAATGTATTCTACAAAGAAAGTACAACATCTATTGAGAAGTAGAATCATTCCCGAACTTCACTGAATAGTCAACCACCCACTGTGATCAATTACTAATGCAGTCCATTGAGTTTCAAAATTGTTGCCAAAAATCAGCATGGCATTTCACCATCAACAATGATGATGAATAGCTAGATAGAATAGGATGAATGGATAAGGAAGTGAAAGGTTAAAATTTTATATAATTGTAGATCCAGAGAGAAGTGCAGAATATGTTTATTTGCTTGGAAATCTAAATTCCCACATGACTAATTCTTTCATTTCCTTGCAAGCACACAGTTTGTTTATATTCTTTTCATTCATTTCCATACCAAATAGCCTGACAGCGAAGAACTTCCTTTCAAGCAATTGAACACACGGCAAGGAGATAAATGTTGCTGCTGCATTCTTTTTGCTTTCACTAGATTTAGCCCTACCAGCAGTCATAACTAACCTCAGCAAAAAGGCGCTCACCACCACTCCTTCCCACTTCAAATTCTCTTTTTTTATTTATTAATGATACTAGTACTTGAGTTGCAGCCCCTCTATCAGCTTATGTTTGAGTTGCACCCTTTCTATTATTAGCTTAAGTTTTTTGAAGAGTCGGTTTTTTGCAATTTTTTATATATATAAATAAATATCTTTTGCATAATTAAAGGGAGGATTTCAAATATATATAAAATATTATCATGAACTACATTATTGAAGGAAGAACTTCAGAAAATATTTAAATATATATATTTGTCATCATGTGCTACATTATATTACTAATTGTCCATCACATAAATTATGATGAATTGAGTTGTCCAGTGTAGAATTCAAAAGGTAATAAATAAATAAAAAGAGCCTCGGGATGTATTTTAGTCATTTTTCAGTTGTATTTTTCTTTTATAGATGTGTGGATGTATTTTCATGTGGGTATAGTTGCATATCACTAATGGAAGTCGATATAGTTGCAAGCTATTGGCCAGCTTCTAGCCACTCAATAGTTCAAATACTTTAAGGGGTTTGGATTCTTTCAAGTTGGCCATCTCAATTTGAGAAAGCGTTGGGCTTGGTAAGCTCATTTTGGGACCAATTTCGGTGATTCGAACCGTTCGCTTTTTAGGACTCGTTGAGTGGAATATTCATGCAAAAAGTCAAGATGATCAAATATCGATATCTATATGTTTGAATCAAATTTGCATTACAAAAAATGAATGGATATTCTTGAAATTATATTTGTCATCCAATTTTTTAAAACAAATATGATTCAAACATATAGCTACTGATGTCCAATCATCTTGATTTTTTGCATGAATATTCTACTCAACAAGTCATAAAAAATAAACTATTCTGATCATATAAATCGGTCCCAAAATGGGCCTACTAAGCCCAAATGCTCTCTCAAGTTGAGATGACAACTTGAGAGAAGCCAAACTAAATATGATCTTTTCTTGTCTATAGAGTACAACCAGTCCCCAGTAAATGCTATATAGTGAAGTTAATTGCTGTTACCAGCAGCAAGATCCTAAATACCACCTATATTCAGATAAGACTGCATTTATGTAGGGAGTAAGGTGATATGAAAAGAACAAATTACTTGTGCTAGAGGATTAGCCTAAGGACCTCTTGATTGGAATCCGGAGAACAAAGATGGACCATAATCGAATTTGTAGCCCTTTTTCTCAAACGAGTGAATAGCACCCCCAGGCAAACTATGGCTTTCTAACACTAAAACATCTTGCTGGTATCTAGATAGAAGTCCTGCACAACATAGTCCAGCAATTCCACTTCCAATTACAACAACATCTTCCTCTGGCTTGACTGTAGATAATTCGACATGTTCCTTTAAATTAGCGGACCTAAATAATGCTAAGGAAGCAATTTAAACTCTGAAGAATCTTTCCACTATCATGAAGCCCAAATCTTAGACTAAAATGTGCAAAATTTGGTTTTGGAATTATTTTATTTCTCTATGAAATTTTCAAATCACGAATGAATTAAATTGGGCAATAGTTTATTTTTAAAATTTCCCATTGGAAGAAAACCCTTAATTAATCGAGATGCACTTGTAGAAAACTCCTTGCCGAGGACCTGTGCACTCCTGGGAATTAGTTAGGCTTTGATCCAAATATAGCGACCCCGGTCTTTTCCCATTTGATTATTGTATCCGGACTTAGGTTCCGTAGCTCCTACCATTGTATTATGATTGTTACCGTCCTTTGATTTCTTATTTCTGAGCTGGGGAATGCAATAGGCAGGTTGTAGCAGGTTGGTTGAGCTTGGGAGCAAAGGGGTTGCTGCCCAGAATTGTGACCCTTCGCTCGAGCGAGAAGTTATTCGCTCGAGCGAGCTCTTTGTTTTGGTCCGTCGCTCGAGCCAGGGTTCATTCGCTCGAGCGAGGATTGCGTTTTGTAGTCAGACCTGAGAGCAGAGGTTTTTGGCTCGAGCGAGCTTTTCTTCGCTCAAGCGAGTTAGTTCGTTCTTCGCTCGAGCGAGTGTTCCTTCGCTCGAGCGTGTGTCTGGTTACAGACCTGAGGGTTTGAGTCCTTCGCTCGATCGAGTTCTCTTTCGCTCGAGCGAGTTTTTGGGTTGTTGGCTCGAGCAAGGCTTCCTTGGCTCGAGCGCAGCTTCTCTGTGTCTGGTCGCTCGAGCGACCAAGTCTTCGCTCGAGCGAGCCTGTCAGGTTTAAATACACAGCAGAGGGTTTTGATCAGTCTTTTTCATCTTCTTTTTGATTCCAAACCCTAGGTCCGACCTCTCTCTCTCCCTACTCACCTTCTCTCTTAGGTTTGATCTGTTTAGAGTGTGTTTCTACCCTAGTTGCTTTATTAAAAAGATAGAGGGAGTCGAGGGCTTTCATTTAATCTGAACATTTGGCGATTTGGAGCACATTGGTATTTGGGTATTCATCTCTGTCTTCTCCATTTGGGTTATCTTCTT